GGTTTAGACATTAAGAGATTAGCCTCACAGCAGCCTGGATAGATTTCTTGTTTACTTTCTACTATTCTGCTATTATTTTTCACGAACAACTTACCGATACGGTTTGTCAGAGTTATGGATCCGCCTGTGGTTTCTCACCCCTACATAAGTAGAGCTGGTATAGTTGCACACATCACATTTATACATCTTTGGCACCCCACCTTCTGGAAGGAAAAGACAAAGCAGACAATACTGTTAGCCTCCTGAAAAGGTGTATATGTTCAAAGATTCAGCGACAGAGTTAGAAATCTGAGCTTTTCACTTTCTTACCTTCGTCTGTTCCCCGTTCAGATTCTTCCACTGGGATGATGGTGTCGGTCCCCGTTGTGGGTGATGGTGTGTCGCTACTGCAGCTGTGGTGCTCTCTTTCATGACTTCTTAACTGACTCTAGTTAGGAAAACACACACACACACACACACGGAAACTAGGGAACTTGGAATAAAAGGCATGACAACAGATAAGTTATCTACTGGTGCACTAGTGGGTTTAATAGGTCTGAATCCAATCTACCATCTGCAGTGCAGAAGTCACAGTAGGGCATCAGTTACAATTACAAATTCTATTGCCTGAGTTCCCAAATCTGTGGAATGAATCTAATTAGCTTTTCTGCTAACTGTGGAAAAAAAGGCCAATTCATCCAAATCCTAATATCTGAACAGCTACCCAGACTTTATTTAAAACAATCCAAAGAACTTAAACAATTACACTATGTTCCACATGATAATAAGGCCATTTATTTATTTAGTCAAGGAAATGAGCGTAAGGAAGCCAGTGTGTGGTTAGGTTTATACCCTCTCTGTATTGTTAGAAAATCTCTATGAGCAACTCTGAGGCTCTTTCACACACATGAAACCAACATCCAACATTTCTGTTATCGATATCTGATATTGCTACTGCTGATAACCAATATTTTACATATTTGCTATTTTATATATATTTTATTTTACTCTTTCAACACCGAGTAAAAGCCACCACCCTCTTCCCTTCTGAAACACAAACGACAAAAAGATGGAAGTAATCACTAGTCATTAATATTGGTCCAGTTTTACTTGTCGGATCAGTTTAGACATGTTAATAAAAATTGGCCGATACTGATGTAGATGCTGTTTTATTGTACTTTACTTTTGTCTCATGAGCCAAAATAGTAAAGTCAAAAATAATCACAGGCCGATTTAGATGGTGAACAATAACCTAAGTTTGCAATACTGTATTGAATAAGTAAAGCAGTGCGATGTGTTAATTATTGTTAATGCAAAATCTTGAAAGGCTTTTACACATTGGTTTGCAAATTGGAAGTATCACTTCCAATTTGATTATGTACTTTCCACCATGAAAATGCACTCGTTTTCATGGTGTATCATTTTAAAGCCCTGTTGACAAGCGTCTGCTCTCACACATATAGTGTGATGTTACATCTAGTCTCAGTATAAATGACCATAAAACAATCTAATTCTTGAAGAGAAACTGAAGTCTGCTAAAACTGGTATTTGCTGCTCAAAGCTTCACCAATAAGAGTTACGAAATCAGCCACAACATTTCGATCAGTGCCTCTGGAACCGGGAATGTTTTACTGTGCTTTTAAGGAATGCAGCACTAAACGTGACATGTTTGCAGTACAATAATACAGGCAACTCTGAGATAGAGTGAATATAAAAAGTATACACACCTCTGCTACAACAGCAGGGATTTCTGAATAATTTCCACCTTTCATGTGATGTCTAATGACTCAACTGGAAAATAAACCTGAAGCCTTTAAGAGGGAAAAGAAAGTCTAAGAAATTGTAATGTGATTGCACAAGTTTACACAAGTGTGCACAAGTGTGACTGTAAGGGTCTGCAAATATCTTCCAGGTCATCAGAGGAATCCATTACTGGGTATAAATTTGGAGAAGAGTACAAATTAACAACCAAGACTTCAGGCATAACATGGAACAAAGTAAAGACAGTCCTTATCAGGAGAAAATATGGTGCAACAGCAACAATAGCGAGAACTCACACATCCTTCCAAAACTGACAAAAAGATAAGAAAACCAAAAGATTGCAAAGTCGCCTACAGCAACACAGAAGGAGCATCAGGAATGTCAGTCTGTGTAGAACATGTATCAGAAATCACCAAAAATCTTTAGATGTCTGAGTTATGTGGTTGGAGGAAGCCTGTTCTTACAAAGAAAAACGTCTGAGTCAGCCTAAATGTAGCAAAAAACACCTTTTTTTTTCAAAAAGAAAAAAAAGACAACTAGAAACAGTGAATAAAGGTGGTGGTAGCATCATGCTTTGGGGATGTTTTTCTTGCTCTTTTACTAGGGAAGTATGCTCAGCTCTAACTATAAGTCAATTCTGTCTTGTTTTTTTTACGCTGTCACATTCAGGTGGAAAAAAGATTTGAAATTATTTATCTCGTCTCTTTTTTTCACATTAAAATTTGTCATGTCAACAGGGATGTGAAGACTTTATATATCCACTGTAACTGTTTCACTGTTAGACAACCCAAATAAAAATAACAGAATCCATTATAATATGAAACGTCACAGTGTAGGTCACCTTTTAATAACTGTGCATTTAGCGCCTGCACATAAAGACATAAAGCAGGCACACTGGAACTATGAAAATCTGCTGTAACTGACTTTAATTATCAAAAAAAGCTATTTTTTTGCCAGCAAACCAGCTGAACACGTCTATATCTGGTTTCTGGGTCGGGTCAGTGAACAGAGCGTGGCAGAAACAGAAGCAGGAAGTTCTTCTCACCTTATAGTGGAAGGCATCCGGACAGAATTTACACTGGTGCATCCTGCTCTTGCAGTGGTAGATCATGTGGTTTTCCAGGTCCTTACTGTCTGAGGCTTTGTGCTCACAGATGGGACACTGGTATGGCGCCCTCTGTCTGTGAACACGCAGGTGCTGTTTAATGTAGCCCTTGTTGCCACTGCTGTAGTGACACAGCCGGCACCGGTACGGCCGCTCGCTGCTCGGGTTGTAATCCACCAACCCTCCGTCAGCTGGGCCGACCAGCCCATCAATGCCTGGAATGTTACACACGTAACTCTCAGCTCCGTTGCCGGTGATCGCTGCAGCTACAGCCCCATTCTGGAACTGCGCGTTATCCTGAAGCTCTTTCAAGATGTCTTCATCGGAGATGTTCTGGTCTGAGCGCTCTCTAAGTCTTTCGATGACGGTAAGGAGAGAAAGGCTGATTCCGGCTTTTGTGGTGGGACCTTCCTCATCACCCTCCACAAGGCCCAGGGGTCCTAATTCCTCCTGTTTGGCCTGGCAAAGCTCCAGGTCCAACAGGGCTGCCGTCTTCTCTACGTCTGACGCCCTCTGTCTGCTCTGAGTTCCGTCCGAAATCCTTTGATTCTGAATCTGGGGTAAAGCGCTCTTCAGGGTCACCTTAGGGCTGGAGGTGGGTAGCTCTGGCATCCTCATCGGCATAGCAACAAGAGCCTCTGCAGCCAGAGAGTGGAGGCGGAGCGACTCGGAATGCGTTCGCTTGCGGCTAGTTGGGGGGATGTTTTCATCCCTTAGGGACGTGTCACCTTTAGGGAGGGGAGACTTACAGTCAGCATCTACCGGAGGACTGTTGGTGGAGTTATCCACACAGCCAACACTTCTTACAGGGTTCTCCTCCTGCTCCTCCTCCTCTTTCACAGCCAGCAAACCCTTGTCCCTATCCACATCTTGGTTGAGGAGAAGAGGCTTTGTCACCATGACGGTATCTTCGGCTGATGGAAGGCGCTCTACGATCACGTTTATGTGTCCGGCGCTGTTCGGACTGCTGTTAATGATCTTCTGGGCTGACGACAGCAGGCTGTCAGGAATGGAGCTGCTATCTTGGGTCCCGTCCACCTCCATGTCGCCATCTCCCTCCGTAGTCACTTGCACCTCCACCACAGGCTCCTCAGAGCTCACGTCTTTGTTGGCGTAACCCTCCTCCTCATTTTTATCTGCAGGCGTTGCAGAACCTTCGTTGGAATGCGAGACCGATGGATGATACTGATCCTGCTGGTTCTCGGTAGCGACAGGCACGCAGAGTTGTAACTTGATGGCCGCTGGGAGCTTCTGTAAATTTTGATCGTGAAGGCCTGGAGACAGGATCACTAGATCCTCTCGGGGTATGATGCTGTTGGTAGCTGCTTGAGTCTCTTGTCTTGCTGGACCGCCTTCCTCTTCCTCGAAGATGGGGTAGGAGCAGTCGACGAGGCCGGCGTGCTTCCAGGCGTGGGTCTTGAGCATTCGCTGCTGGCTGCACACGTAGCTGCAGATCAAGCAGCGGTACAAACCGTACTCCTCGTAGCTATACCACTTTTTCTTCTTTGGTGGGTCACTTGACTCATCTAGAGAACCTTTTCTCGCCTCACTGTCCCGCTCCCCCTCCCCACACTGTTTCATAACTCCTTCCTCTTCCGTGGAGGTTCTCGTCATGCCGCCCCTGTCGTCAAAGTGTAGTTTGACGTGCGCCTCCAGCTGCTCCTGGTCTCTGGATGTGAAGTGACACTCGGAGCACATGAGGATGAGGTCGCTGTGCTGCTCATTGTGCTGCTTCAGGTGCTCTCTGAGCTGGGCCAGCGTCTGGGAGAGGTAGGGACAAAGGCTGCACTGGTAGCACGTTACTGTCCGTTTGAGGTCGATGTGGCTTGAACCGCCAGCAACTTCGCTCGGCGCAGTAGTGATACTGTTGTTGTTATTGTCACCCAGAGCAAGAGAAGAAGAAATGCCATCCGTTTCGCTACCATCTGCTCTCGCCTCCTCGTCGCAGTTATTCTTCATCCTCTTGTTAGGAGAGCTTCCTGGATTCGACCTCACCTCAGAGGAGTCCAGATGTTTCCCTCTTTTCTGCCCCCCCAGAGGGCAGCGTCTCTGCGGACGCTGCTCCACTATCTTGCTGAGTTTCTCGATGACCTGGATGAGGGACTCATCCACCTGTTTTGGCTGGACACTCCCTGGGACACCCTGACCTATAACCCTGTGAGGCTGGGGTTCAAAGGGAGATCCAGGTACTGGAGCAGAGGAAGAAGCATCAGATGTAGAGGAGGACTTTGAGATGAGGACAACAGCGCTGCAATTCTCATCCATCACCTAGAAACATAGCAGTACATAGTCTCTGTGGTTACTGCATATGGTATTCACACAATGATGTAGAATTTGTTCTTAAATTCATTCATGTTGACATGCCCCATGTATGTTTTGTTTGTACTCTGCCACAATAATCACTAGGGTTAGTATATGCTATATTTATCATTATACAAAGAAAAATTATAAATTGTAATAATCATTTGTTTTTGCAGATGTAATTGTCTGTTTTTTTTAAGATCAACTCACACACTTGTGTTATTTTTTTATATGAACTGTGTGGTATGGTAAACAAATAAAAACTAGGAATCTCATGCCCATCTTAGTAAGTTACAGAACTTAACTTTAAGCTTCTTAGACCAAACTATAAGGATTTTCTACATTATTAATACATTTACAGATAAATTAAAGAAGTGGATTTTCTATGAAGAGCGAATAGCAAATGAATAAAAAAGAGAAAATTAATTAATTAGTAATAATCAGCAGCTACACCTAAAAACTAGAACATAGTTCAAATTTTTACTTCAGGAATGAAGTTGAATAAATTTATAAATGAAACCTACATCATTGCTTACAGTCAGAGTGATACATTTCTAGTGTTTATGTTCATTTTAATTACTGATATTACAGGACACCAGTAAATTTGTTCCTTAACAAGCTTCTTGTCCTTACTGCTTGCACACCTGTTTCTATAGTATTTTTTTTTCCTTCCAACAAACTTTCCCTTAATATACCTCAGTACAGCACTCTGAACTTTTGGCTTTTTGTGATTTCTCCTCCTTATGGAGGGTGAAGCCACTCTTCCTATGAGTATGTAGGCCACAATATATTTGTATTACAGTTAATATGAAACGATTAAGTGCAGAAATATTCACTAATTAGTTCAATAAGTTAAATAAATAAACTTTAACATTATTCTAACCGATTACTGTAGAACTTTGCTACTCATGGTGGCAGCTCTGTCACTTTAGTTCAGATTTGGTCTTTTTATTAACTTAGTTCACAATATTTTTGGTCAAGGCGCTGCATGTTTGGTTAATTATTCCTTCTTATTTTAGATGCCATGCAACTGGAAGGATTTTTGCCCTTACTTTTTCCCCCCTTTTGGGCAGCTGTGATTCCTAACAACTTGGGACCATGACAACAATGACTATCCACAATGACTCTGAAGGTCGAACTGAAACTGGGTATGTCAATAAGTTGCCTATTACATGGCTATGAAAGTCATCTCTGTTTCTTTTTTTCATTAGTGTCAGTGATGTTCTAATTTCTCAGCTGTTATCTTTAAATTAACCGAAATAAACACTTGAAAACATCCTGAATTAAACAAATTGACCTATTAATTGAAAGGCATCTACACAGCCCAACACGTGCTTAAGATCTAACATTATCTTGCTTTAACAGAGAAACAAACTGCATCTCTAGATGCTTCTCTATAAATATAACGTGCTGTACAGATAAATCTTGATCTGTCTAGTGAAAGTGTGAGTTTGCAAACGATTCCTTCGATAAGCAAGACTCAGCTTAACCAATTCATGATAAGGCCTCCGCACTGAACCATGTGCTTCTGTTTACAAACTGAACTCTGAGGAAATGATCACTACTGAAGCGGTTCAAATTCCTTTCATCTCTCCAAATCCAACACTTTCCCCGCTTCCTAACCGCAGCTCTCGCTTCCTCTTTCTCCCACTTCTGCTACTAAACCAGCAGCTCACAACGTGGGACACAGCTTTGGGAAGTATATCATAAAAAGATAGTGAGTGAGAGTTTAGTGAAGCCACAGTGGAAGCAGCAACTCCACATAAAAGCTTTGAAGTTAGCGCTTCAGTTTAGTAGCGATTATTTATGATCCTGATAGAGCTGAGCTCAGCCTCCATCACCATGTCCTTTGACCCGTCTGAGAGGGGCACCTGTTATGTCAGGGTCTAAAAATATTTTCTCCTCTAGCCTGTGAAATGAAGTTGAACACAGCCTCCAAACTCAAGCAGACCCATATTAGCTAATAAGCTAAATCGACTCGGACAAGTCAGTTTTCTCGTGTGTTCTTTCAATAAATAATCAACAAAAGTTCAGACAGTGTTAGCTTCACATCTTACTGTCTGCTATTTAAACATACACACACAGTGCTAATAGTTCCACACATGAATATACAACAAGGGCATCTGTATTCTCTTTACGGCTAATGAGTGACGGAGAGCATGTGGAGGCGCGTGAACGAAAACACACTCACTGACAAAATGACTCGCGACGCTCTTTGTCCTCAACGCATAAAACTCGGGAGATTTTATTCGTTAGCTATAAAAAGTGGCCTCTCTCTCTCCACCACATTGCAAAATGGCGAGGATGGAATATCAGTCACGTGACTTGGAGTTTGGGTCAGGTGACCAACGCTGTCTTCAGGTGCCGCTCGTACACTGCGACGCTGTCGGAAACAATAGAGTTCAATAGAGACCGCCTTCTTTTCACACTTTATCAACAATGAACAATATCTGCCACGCAGTAGGAAGTGTAAACGAGCTATAAATATAACATAGCATTCGTGTGAAAAGGCTCATATAAGCTTACTGGTCTTGGTTCACCGTTTTATTTTGTTTTGTTTTTTGTTTTGATAAGGCCAAAGTCAGCGCAGCTGTAGCCTGCGGGGAAGGAGGGTGAGGGACACCAGAGCCAACAAGACCGACCGCCATTAACTGGACTTCATTCACATCTTAACACAGTGGTGCCCAAAGTGGGTCCTCAAGGGCCGGATCCTGCATGTTTTAGTTCGCTCCCTGGTTTAACACACCAGGATCAAATGATGGCTCGTTAGAAGTCCTAAGAGGAACATTGACATCCTGAAAAGATTATTACTACCACCAGGGTAGGATGCCGGCCCCCGAGGACCGACTTTGGGCTCCCCTTAGCAGAACCACAGACTGTTCCCCTCCACTTTACGCTACACTGAACACTGATATAAAGTTCATCCAAAAGAAGCTGGAATATGAAACCAACTTCAGCTTCGTTCATGAGTATCAAGACTACTAATTTTACATTTGATCATCTTTCTTATAGAAAAAAAAAATCACTGATATTACAATATTCAGATATTCTGAGAAACTGAATTTTAGGTTTTTATTATCCTTAAGTCATAATTAGCTAAACGTTTTTAAGTAAATAACAGTGTGTTATGAGTTATAAGTTTCAGCTTTTTAAGACCAAATTATTTACATAAGTTAGCGTTTACTGATGTCACAACGCTTGACAATAGTTGTATCACTCCATGAAGTTGAGACAGAAAATATATTAGATAAATGTGTTAATTAAAGCTCCAATTATTCAATGCTTTAGAAATTATGTACTTTTGATCTTATGTAATATTTACATTTTCTGATAGATTTAATTTTGGGTTTTTATTATAAGCCATAATCGTTTTATATGCTTTATGCGTGACTCACATGACAAAAATTCAGAACTTTTTTTATTTTTTATTTTATGGCATTCTAATTTCTTGAGCTGTATTTGTATTGTTCCAAGATTGGTGGAAGAAGTTGTTTTCGAATTTCTTTTCTATTGGACAGGAAAGCGCAGACCATTAAATAAAAACAATATGTTTACTGATCCCTCAGAAAATTCCAGTATTTTTAATATTATTATCATTGTTGTTTTTCTTCATGCAAATTTGCAAAGGAGCATGACATGAGGAATAAAAAGCAGGCAAAAAAAAAACAGATCGATAAAGTAGAAGTGAACATTTGTTCAACACTGTTTGTTTTGCTCTCAGGCTCAGGATTGTGTAGAGGGGAAAACCATTGTCAGGAGCAGAAAGAAGCTTCTGTCTCCATAAATGGGCAGCAAAGAGGAGCCCAGGAGGTTGAAACTCCTGGATAAGGGATAGTTTAGGCCAGGCGTGCCAGACAAAATAAGCTGCTTTCAAAGTTTCGCCAAAACTAAACACTGCCATCTAGTGGCTTTATGAAGTTAATGGGGCATGACTTATGGAAGGGAATAGAAATATACTTTATTGTCCCTCAGTAGGGAAATTCAGGTTTACCAGCATCAAAGTAACAGACAAAATGGAATCATGTAGATTCACACAAAGGTAACAACATTAAAACAATAAATGAGAAATAAGAGACTGGGCAGTAGGGAAAATTTACAACATAAGTAAAAATACTGTAGTTATTCCAAAAGTATAATCAGAGTCAAAGGAATGTGTAGCTGAGAAAGATAATTTAAAATATGCATGTAACAAAGGGAAGACTGACTGGAAATCACATTAAGTAATGCTCCATCATTTGACCTGCAACAAAACTCTGTTTCTACATGTCTTCAGAATTATCTAATTTCAAAAATATTTTTCAAAAACCAAAGAAAAAAATCCCCCAACTAGATGAGTTTCTTTTATCTCTGTGTTGTATAAACTAAACAAAACCCAACACAATTCAGATGGTAGCTTCCTGTTCATCAATGTGGTGACTGAAATTATTAGTTGTCATTTTTGATAAGGTAAATCAACTCTATTTTAACGTCTATAAGGGAAACAAACCCTGGACTGAAACATCCAACACTAAATACAGTTAGATTTCTTATTTATAACATTAATGTGTTTGTAAAAGTTCAAGAATTTGAAATATGACTGCTTGAGTGTTTCATGCAGAGACCAGATTAAGACCTACCTAAAACGGTGGTCTAAGGAAGCCTTGATGCCAAACCATTTCTCTCAGTTAGTAACTCTAAAAGTATCACCCAAAAACATCAATTTATTTGATTAATTTTTGGTACATATATTAAATTGTGAGATCTAAAATACATTTGCCCCTTCTTCTAAAACCCCTCCCCACAAAAAACAAAGAAAATAAAACAAAATAAATAAGTGATCTTAACTCTAGTGTGTTGTGTGTCAATTCAGTCCACACAAACAGATAGATAAAATTGCTGTATATTTACTATCTGTCAGAATTTCCTGTATATGATCCTGCTCTAAACTATATGTAAATTAGATGTGAATCCTCATATCACCTCCAAACTTGTGTGAATTCCTCAGTTTACATTGAAAGTAGTAAAATTTATGACTTAAATTCTTAAAATAAGGCTGAATTCCAATAAAGTTTCTATTAATTCTTATAATTTCTTACATATGTATGTATGGACAGTGTTTAGACTGAAGTCTTTTTGGCACATAATCTGGACCTTTGAGTCTTTAAGGAAGGTGGAACATGTTTTAAAGTGCTAACATTTTTAAATGCACTCCAACCTAAATTTACATGAAATGCTGTCCTTGATCCACTACTAAAGAGGCTTTTAAATCCAAATAAGAAGCAATGGAAATTTGCTCTAATATGCTTAAAACAAAACACAAAATAGTCAGAATTTAACACAGGCCCAGTTGATAAAAAACAAGCCTGAGTGAAAAAAAAAGGAAGAAATCACTCCTTGTTTTCCCATCACCACTCACATGTGATTTTTATGAAGTGTAATTCCTTCCACCTCCTATTACCCCTGTTGCCTCTCCATCACAGGCACAGCGAGGCTGTTCTCTAATCTGAAGTGACAGCCCATAGACTTTCAATCACACATTACAGTGTAGCCCCAGGCAACAGAGGCTGCTTCTTTCAAAATGTTCAAACCAGGTTATTTCTATCGAGGTATTAAAGTAATACTTCAGTTTAAGCTATTATTCCACAGTCTGTTATTTTTATTTCAGCTGAGAGGCTGAGGGCAGATTGAAGAAGGGAAGGAGGAAGGAATGAAGGAACAAAGGAAGGAAGGAGCCACGATGTGTTTTAAAAAGAGAAATGTGCTTTTTCAGTTTAGGTTTCTTGTGAGCAAAAAAGGCGTCTAATAGGGGAAAACATGTGGCAAAGGTCACCAGGTTGGGACTCAAACCTGTGACGTCCGCATCGAGAACTGAAGCCTCCATACATAGGTTGTGTTTTACCTCTGTTCCACCGCAGCACCACAAATACACAGATATGTTTCACAGTGCAGAACCACTATCATTAACTGATGCCACGTGAGGCTCTTCTACATGTCCAGCCTTTGTTTCACATCAAACTCTTGACTCATCCAACTAAAGCACACTGATCCAGTTAATATCCAAGGAAAGTTCCCTTGTTTATGTTTGTGATGGTAGGACAGAAAAGGCTTTTCTACCAGTGAGATTTGAAGATTTGTTTATTTTAATCAAATAAACACATTTATTTGTTTATTTGATAAAAAAAGAGATTATTTTAATCTTTTTTTTAACCTCCTTTGCCATTTTGTCTACTGAGCCAGTAGCCCAATAAGCACTGACTACAGGCCTCGGCCCCCATGGCCCTGCAGGATATCAGGTTAGAGATAATGGATGGATCATTTTTAGAGATTTGTTTATTATGGTTTTCAAATTTAGAAGCTTAGATATACCATGCCTTTAAAAATTATGATAACATTTATGCACAACATTTGGGTTAAATGGAGACCCACCTAAGCTGAAAATGTATTTTTAAACATGTTTGTTCCTTATGTAACATGATGGACAAATTTCAAGAAACCAGTCAAAATATCAGGAGGAGAGCTGTGAACCTACAGAAGTCCTGCTTTATCCATATTGATGTGTTTAAATATCAAAGAATAAACAACAGAGTGTCCACTATGTGCTATCATAAACATGCATAACAGATGTAAAAGAACAAAACAAAAACACCTTAATGTTTCTATACAGATTCTATCCAGTCAGATCATTTTTTGGTCGAAGATCATATAATGCAGTAATAAATTGGGTGCATTCTATGTAATAATTATTAATTATTACACAGAATGTTTTCAGATACATTGAATAGATACAGCTGGATAAATGTGTTCAAAACTTTGGACACTTCCTGATCCAAAAAGTGGAAAAGATGAGCTATGTTGTATGACAAAGAACACAGAGAAATAATATTATTCATAGTGATTTATTCATTTTTTTATTCTTTTTGAAATTTTAAATTCACCTCAACAATGAATATTGGCAAAAATGTCTTTTTTTATTCCTCCGATACAAAAATCAAGCATCAAGTAAACAAAGTCACTTCACTTCTTTTGTCGAGAGTGAAATATTTTAAAAATATTTTTTATGACCATATTTCAAAACTCCATCCTTTTTTTCTGTTTTTACAAAATGCTCATAATACCAATTACACTGAGGTATAATTTTAATTGTCAGAAAGCTAAGATTGTAAATTGCATATTTTTTTATCAACTGAAACAGCAGATTGCACAGCTAAACAAATTGCTTTATATTTACAGCATGTTTTTTTCTGGTATTTCCCATGTACCAGTTTTACAGCATGATATGCAACTCTGACGCTATACTAACAACCACAGGGTGGCAGTAGTGGTCTTCAGCTCCGGACTGTAGGAAC